TTCTTCAACTTAAACATATTATATTTGACTGAGCTTATGATAAAAACAAAAACAAATGATAATCGCTTCCATAAATCAATATATTTTTATGTGAAACTGCGGGGCCACTCCATCACGGTGTGAAGGGTCCCTCTCAGATGGCCCAAACATCATGCTCAACTGAAGCCCAACGCTGCAACCAGCTTCAGAACCACCCCGCCGACCACTCGCAGGACCCTTGGCGGCTCCCAGGGATGGGCACACATGGCTGAAGCTTGTGCCCTTCTGGATCGCCGTATGCTTCCTACCGTTACTACCATAACTTAGATAAAACGTAAGTGGCATATATATATATATATATATATATATATATATATATATATATATGGGGGGGTGTGCTATCCTCTGAGGAGGAAAGAGGATGCATGCAAAAAAATATTGCCATAGTGCGATTGACCAAAATCCATCCCGCAATCAACCGTTCAATCGCGATTGATGCGTTGGACATGTCTGCCATATATAAATCTGTTTAAAACAGGTTCATCCCTCCTCCTGGTCCAGATGAGTTCTACAGACAGAGCTAGGGAAATAGGTTGAGAAGAAGGACTAAAAGATGGAGAGATGGGAATAGCCACCAAAAGTCACTAGAGGTGTCACTGGCATCTTATGGTTGATTGAACCCCCTTGGAGTCAGATATTCGTACAGATTTAGCTACGAGCACGAGCACGTTTGTGAAGAGGGCTTCCCCGGCAGTGAACAGAGCTACCTTGCCGCTGATGCTGTGCTGCAAGAGGTTCATGCTTCTATGGTTCTCTTTACCCTTGTGGCAGGTAAGCAGCTAAAAGCCATAGGCTCCATTTCAGGTTGTTTCAAAGGCTCAGGTGATGCATCAACATCACGAAACCCTCTACACCCAGGGCACATTCCCCCTGAAGCACATTGCAGATGATACCATTTAGTCTTGTCAGAAACAATATGTTGAACACCCTTCTTAACTACTGCTAGCTCCCCGGCCCACAACTAACTTGACCTGGATTTAAAATATTTATCTTTTGTAGGCTTCATTTTTTTTGCTCAGAGTTTTAGTTAATATTTTATGGACAACGTTTAGCTGGGAGATTTGATGCTAGCTCCTTTGATGGATACTCACTAGGCACTCACATTATGAGCACCACTGGAGCTTCTGTCTTCAGTTTGCTGCTGTAGGCTCTTTATTTTAAAAATGTTGCGGTCCAGATCCTCAGTTTGCTGACATGAAGCCATCATGATTCTACTGGAAAAGATGCAACTGTGCTTCTTTGTACCACTTTATGGGCTGGCACTTAAGCATAACCTAATATTATTCCAATCTCTAAATCCCTCTTGTTGTTCATTTCTACAACAACAAAAATGTAAATCTTCTCATGAGTTCAGCCGACATAATATTCTGCCTTGAGCTATTTGTTGCCTCTTGTGTTACTTTTATGGATTTTTTTTAAAAAAAATCTTCAATCTTAATATTGCCATTTCACCTTCAAAAAATCAAAATTGCAGATTCCATTATTTAAAGCATATCCAAAAAGGGATTTGCACAAGGCTGTAAGATCATATGCGCACACAGCTAATTGCCTTTAGAGTTGAGATTTCAGTCAAAGTTTATAATTTTCTTAGGTTACATGCTGGTAGCTTGATAGTTTTATTGCCAGATTATCTTCACTTTTGCCTAATCAGGCATAATTGTGCACTGTTATTATAGAAGTTATTAAGATCATGTTTCACCTTATAGAAGTGCATATGCCTCTCTTCATGTGGTTAGCTTCTATAGTTTTTTTTAAACATGTGTTTTCCCCTTTAAATGTTTATATTAAAAAACTTGTAAGTGTTCCCTTTTCAGAAATATATTTTATCAGCTTTCCTTCAATATATATACTTCTCCCCCCCCCCAATGCAAGAGGCTTCTGTATCTTTGAACTAAATCTGAATTTAAAATGAATTGAGCTTAGTCCACTGTCTCCCAAGTGTTGGAAATGTCCTGTCTCCCCTTTTCTACAAGGAATTCCTTCTCATCCTATTTGATCTCATTTGACAGGTATCCAAAGTTATTATTAAATCTGCTGGTGTACCATCAGTGTTTGACGAGAGCTATTTGCTATGAAATTGTTCCTTGGAGCAATGCTTCTCTCCACCCCCTTGACTCGGAATGCTATTCTGGTGAAACAGTCAGCAAAATGTAAAGAAGAATAGCATTGGCTGATGGAGCAGAGTCTCTCCTAAAGTCTCCCCACTTTTTAAAAACAGACCTTTCCAGTTTAAATAGTTTCAGTCCCGCAACTTCTTAAATATCAGCACTCTTATACAAACCTGTAAAGGCAAGGAAGTTTAAAAAGCCTACAAGGAGGGAGTATTTTCATTTACTTTTAAAATCCTGTCTCTGACCCCTGAGTAAACAGAGTGAGTCTTTTTCGTCTAGCTCTACAGCACTGCAAACCATCTTAATGCAAGAGGATGGTGGTCATATGAGAATGTGAGGACTTTGTATCCAGTGTTACTAAACACTGTGGGAGTTTTTAGCAGTCAAACCTAACCATGCATATTTGCTAGTTAGTATATGAAGGGGTTAAGGACCACAGAATTTAATTTCTGCAGTAGACTCAGCGGGATTATGCCCCCTCTTCTCCTGAGAGGATGTAAAGCTTGTTTCCTGTTCCTCTTTCTCTCTCTGTTTCCTGAAGTTCAGTAGTTTCAGTGCCCTGTTTTGTTTTTTTTAAGCAACAACACTTCAGCCAAAATAAGTGTTATATCCTTAATTATAGTTTATTATATGGGAAAAAGTTGTTCACCTTCTCTTTCTTCAATTGTTCAATAACATTTTAGCTCAAGTTCAGGATATTTATTTGACCTTTTGTATCTTCTATATATAATGACATTTGATTCATTAGCTTCTGTAAAGATGGCTGACCTTTTATCTAAAAAACAGTCCATTTTACTCTTCTGCTTCCTCCTCTTTTGTGCCATGGAGACAGTTACTCCCCTGGTTTTGATATTTTGTGGTGCCGGAGTTCTTCCTGAGGATGATGCAGTCTGGTGCTGAAACCTGTCCTTCCCATTTCTCAAAAGTTTGCTTCATCGGTGAAAGAGGTTTCAATTTTTCTTCCTCTTTCGCAGGGCACTTTATAATTTATTTGGACTTTTTAATGGTCACATCCACATCACACATTGAAAGCACACTGAAAGCACATGGCTTCCCCCCCTCCGCCTCCCCTCAATCCTGGGATCTGTAGTTTACCCCTCAAAGAGCTATTGCTATTATATTTATTTATATCCTACCTTTTCCTCAGAATGGGACTCAAGGCAGTTTGCACAAATTAAAACAACACAGGTAAAATACAAAAATATAAACACATATAATAGTTTAAAGACCAATTAAACTCTAATAGAATCAAACCAACAGAAAACCAAATATATTAAAATACATATAGTAAAAAAAGAAAAGAAAGCACAACACTCTTAAAAGCCCTTTCCTTTTTTTAAAAAAGTCAGTTCCTAAAGGCCTGTTGGAAAAAAAACAACCTTCACCTGCCGGCAGAAGAACAACAAGGAGGGAGCCAGTCTAGCTTCTCTAGGGAGGGAGTTCCAAAGTCTGGGAGCAGCCACCGAGAAGGCCCTCTCCTGCATCCCCACCAAACATGCCTGTGAGGCATGTGGGACTGACTGAAGGGCCTCTCTTGAAGATGTGAGAGCCCGGGCAAGTTCGTATGGGAGAATACACTCCTTCAGATAGCCTGGGCCTAAGCCGTATAGGGCTTTATAAATTATAGACAACGCTTTGATTTGTGCAAGGAAACGGACTAGTAGCCAGTGGAGTTATTGTCACAAGGGAGTCATATGCTCCCTATATAACCAGCACCAGCCAACAATTGGGCTGTACTTCTTTGGGCCATTTGAGGTTTCTGAGCACTTTTCAAAGGCAACCCTACACAGAGCATGCTACAGATATCCAGACAAGATGTGTGTCACTGTGTCCAAATCAGATTTCTAAAGGGATGGGTGCAACTGGAACACTAGCTTTAGCTGTCCAAATGCACTCTAGCCCACCCCAGAGATCTGGGTATTCATGCTCAGGGATGAGGCCAGGAACATGCCCAAACTGTGAATCTGTATCATCCCCGGAAGTGTTACCCTGATCCAGCAGCAGCTGAATCTCTATTCCCTGTTCTGCTTTCTACTATTCTAGTGCATATGTACACACACTTTTGTTTTCTTTTTTTCTTTTTTCTTTTTAAGAAAGACAGTCCCAGAGGAAAAATAGAGGCAGTGATTTACTAGGAAATAAAGACTGCTGTAGCATTTTGATGTGGACCAGCTACCAGTGTGATCCAAGTGTGGCTTTTTGGCCTCTTTCCTCAGTCTCCTCAGTCAATGCAAATGCTTGATTTATTAATTCAGTCCTTAATGCATTACATCAAACAAAGTTATCTAAATGTTTTGGTCAAAGCCTCTCTCTTTCCAGATTCTGCTTTAACCTAGCTGATACTGAGCAACACACAACCTATAATTCTTGTTACTTCATTCTCCTGGGAGTTCTATGAACTTCTTATCCATCTTTCCTTCCTAAAGCAAATGTTAACATAGCACAATCTCCTATTAAAAAGCATTGGAGATGTAAATAAGAGGGTGTTAGCAGGTGTGGGCTTAAATATTTCATTATCCTGTTCAGCGTGGGATTGTTCTTAAGAAGCTATGAAAAGCAAGGAATTGTGGAAGTGTATGCACAAGGGTGCCAACTTAAATAAAATAGGGGGCCAGGTAAGCATAATCAATCATGAGAGGGGGCGCGCACTCACGCACGCGCGCGCGCGCACACACACACACACACACACACACTATTTGAACGGCAATGCCCATCAACTTTGGAGGGGCTTGGCCCCCTCAAATAGTTTTTGGGGGGCTGAAGGGACCTTAGCCCCTAGGAGTTGGCTCCTAGGCCTATACAGATGGAGGAACATTGAAAAGTCCTGCGAAGGGGTTGACAGTCTGAGCGATGACTTACCTACAAATCATTTGCAGGCCTGTCGGGTGAGGGAGGCACTTGTCATTAGGGATGCCCTTTCAGAATTTAGGGGGATAGGGCAGCAAAGAGGATTGTAGCTGGAGATGATATTGAGTGGCCCAATCTTAGGTACATTCATAGTCAATACACAAAATAATGACCTAATGTTGCTGTAAATAGAGGCTGTTGGAGCAGGTACATCAAAACAGGGAGACTCTCGTGCCTCGAATTAGTAAAGTGCTCAGAGATATAGGAGCTTAAGGATGGGAGAATCTGTCAATTTCAGTTTCAGTGTCTCACTTTGCCACTCTTCAGTTCTCCATGCTTTCACAACTGTTCATGTATTTTTTTCAAAAAAAATTAAAAATGTCCTCACAAGAATGTATCAATATATTACTGTGAATTTCTCCTAACAGGCACATGTGATTTTGCCTAATATACACATTTCAGCAAAGCAAATTCTCTTAATATAATGCATTTTTGTACGCTATTTTGCCTGATACAGTGGTACCTTGGTTGTTGAACGGCTTGGCTCCTGAGCGCCGCAAACCAGGAAGTAAGTGTTCCGGTTTGCGAACATTTTGTGGAAGCTGAACGTCCAACGCGGCTTCTGCTTGAGTGCAAGAAGCTCCTGCAGCCAATTGGAAGCTGTGCCTTGGTTTTCGAATGGTTCTGGCAGTCGAACGGACTCCTGGAACGGATTAAGTTCGAGAACCAGGCTACCGCTGTATATGCATTTTGATGTGTGCTTTATTCCAGTATTTGCATTTTGTACACATTACTTGGCTGGAGAACTGCCCTGCACAATTTGGAGAAGTTTTGGAAAGTGTGGCTTAAGTAGTTTTTCCTTTAAATGCAAATTACACTGAATTCTGTGCCCATCCTTACTGCGGCTGAAGAATAGTCACACATGGGCCCTGACACATATGGGGAAGAAGGGTGATAGGCTTCCCTATCTTCCCTAAACTTTACAAAATTTCAATCCAGAATCTTACGCAGTGTAAACTTCTACCACATTGCCTCTTTCTCTCATTCCCCCCTCCCCCAACTAAAAAGGTGCCAATGTTGTGACCTTTCCTCATGGGGGAGTTGCTCCCCCCGCCTTGATCATTTCTGTGGCCTTTTTCTGAACCACTTCCAACTCTACAATATCTTTTTTGAAGTGGGGCAACCGGAAATGTACACAGTATTCCATAGGTGGCTGCTGGATCAAGTCTGTTCTCAAGCCAGTGGCTGACCAGATGACCACAAGAAGGATCTGAGCAAATCACCACTCCTCCCCCCAACTCATATTCAGAACATAGCCATTCAGGTTAGTAGCCATTGGTAGCCTTATCCTCCACTAGAAAGGCAAAGGTACGGACATAACGCTAAACTGAAATCAGAAGTAAGTTTCAAATCTTATAATTATAATATAAAATTAAATTCCACCCATCTGACTGGGTTGCCCCAGTCACTCTGAGCAGCTCCCAATAAAAACAATAAAAACACAATACAACATCACACACTAAAAACTTCCCTGAAGTCTTTTAAAAATCACATAGCTGTTTATTTGTTTGACATGTGCTGGGAGGGTGTTCCACAGGGTGGGCATGAGTACCAGAAAAAGCCCTCTGCCTGGTTCCCTGTAACCTTACTTATCTGAATGAAGGAACCACCAGAAAGAAGGCCCTTGAAGCTGGATCTCAATGTCTGGACTGAATGACCCTACCAGAGGGTGATGAAGGAGCATGCAAGCCAAAGGTTATAATGATAATAAACTGTAATGATACATCACAGTTTGTTGTGACATTCTAATGCAGTCACCGGGACAACTCACTTACAACATGGTCAATTTCTTTTAATAAATAACTAAATTGTTGAATGCGTATCCCTCCAAAGCATCAGACTGCATACCTTTCAGACAACACTCAAGTCTGTGCCCTGGAGAATGCAGGGTGTTTAATAAAATTAACAATCTCTGCATTTTTGGAAAGGCAGGACATAATATTTGGTTGGTGGAATACATTGCCCTCTGCTCCTTTGCCAGATTCTCTTACACACACTGCTGAAAATGCGTCCGCATACAAAAGAGAGTCTAATTGACAGGTCCATGGAGGCCGGAGGTGTGATATAACCTGGAATGAGGGCTGTTCTCATAATGAGAGACAGCTGAAAGATTATGCATGTAACCTCTTATATAGACTCTCTGGCTCTTTTTCATAAGCCAGCAGATGGTAGCAGAGTCTGTAGATCTCAGGACAGGCAAATGTGCATTAAATACTGTAACTGCCCTCATTCATTTGCCATTCATCTTCACTTGTCAGTCTCTTTATAAAGTGCCTTCTGTAGTGCTGACCCTGAAATTGCATCATTTAATCTGTAATCGCATATTGCCAACATTCTCTCCATTTTATCGCTTACCGACTGCATTAATTCCGCTGCACTATGGACCACCGATAGCTCTAGGCAACTCTCTGAGGAAAAGAGATATTCATAAAAATGTAGAGATGCAGAAAGGGAAGAGGCTGACATGCCTGAGATAAAGGAAGGAATCTTAAAGGAAGGGGGGGAGAGAAACTTAGAGGCATACAGGCCCCTGGTTTTCTTTTTTCCTTTCTCACCCTGACATGTTGTGCTTTGAATTCTAAATGGCTTATTAGGTTACTATTATTTATAAGAGCTGTCGGTGAGTGCTGCCTTGAAAAGATACAAGAAAGAGCCCCTCCACAGAGAAGCTTCCTATTGAAACACAAGTACCATACAAATGCATATTACTATATCTTGGTGTGTGTGTGTGTGTGTGTGTGTGTGTGAGAGAGAGAGAGAGAGAGAGAGAGAGAGAATCTTTCCTGAGGATAGATTAGAGAGGTGAGTAAATAAATGAAGTGTTTGTCGAGCTAGATGCCATGACGGATCATGGGCCATTTGGCATATCACATTCATGAATCAGGCAGGGACCAGAGAAGAGTGTGGCTGGATGAGTGTGCTTATCAGCCTCAAAAAGGATTCTGTAGCGCTGGAAAAAGTTCAGAAACCAGAGACCAAAATGATCAAGGGGCTGGAGCAGCTTCTGTATAAGGAAAGGTTACCACATTAGGGTCTTTTTAGTTTTTTTATTAGAAAATGGTGAGGGAAGGGGGGGACATAATAATGCATGGTGTAGAGCAGGCATAGGCAAACTCAGCCCTCCAGATGTTTTGGGACTACAACTCCCATCTTCCCTGGCCACTGGTCCTGTTAGCTAGGGATGATGGGAGTTGTAGTCCCAAAACATCTGGAGGGCTGAGTTTGCCTATGCCTGGTGTAGAGACAGCAGAGAAAGAGAGGGAGAGGGAAGGAGGGAGAGGGAGACAGAGACAGAAGTGTAGGTGGGTTCCCACGAGGCAAGACACAGTGATAACAGCAAGAACCTTTATTGAAGTAACAGAACTGGACAACAGGGGCAAAGCAACTGCTTATATACATTTCTGAAGGCCTGGGCCACTCCCACTCCCAACGTGATTGGCTGTCTAAACTTCCAAGCTGCGAATCATGACTCAAAGTTTAAGGGCCAATGGCAGAGGCCCAAATCCTGAAATGTTCTGTGACTGGATATCATGTATCAAATTAGAACACAGGAGCTCAGAATCCTTAATCCAGACTCAAGCTCAGGCAAACACAGACCACTGAATAAATAACAGACAAGACAGACAGACAGAGAGAAAGAGAAAGAGAAATATGCTTTTCTAATACTAGTTCTAATACTAGAACTTGGGAGCATCTAGTGAAGCTGAATGTTGAATGTTTTAAGACAGCCAAAAGGAAATACTTCTTCACACAGCACACAAAGTATGGATTTTGCTCCGACAAGATGTAGCAATGTCTACCAACTTGAATGCCCTTAAAAAAGGATTAGGAAAAAAATCATGAAGGCTAAGACTATCAGTGGCTACTAATTCTGTCTGGTGCTTTGCAGTCTTGGGCTTTTTCCCATTTCCTTCTCAATCTGCAAATCCCCGATAATGTGGCATAAAACCAGATGTGACATTGTACCGGTATAGCTGTTGGCAGGCTCTTCACTAAGCATTTGTGCCCCCCCCCCTCCCGGCCAGCAGTTATAAAGCCTGACTGTAAGGCTTTGCTAGAGTTGCCAACAGGGGGGGGGGGAATAGCAAAGCATTTCCCTCCAAAACTCCTTGAGTGGCTGAAGGTGACGTGGAGCTCAAAATAAGCAGGGCCCTTCCATTTTCATAGGTTTCTGGAAATGAGCTGTGTTGTGTGCATTGCTGAAATAAAATGTGCTTATCTGATATGTGGCAAAATGTAAGAATTGGGCTCTGGAGTCTGAAATCCTATTGGGAATGTTAATGTTGAACAATTTACATTTAACACCCTAAATTCAGCACCACCCATAACTGGGAATGTGCAGAGAATTAAAGTATTTTTTGAAGGCAAGCAAATTTGAAATTGCTTGAGAATTTCCTCCAAAATTTGTTTCCGTGCTAGCTGCTCATAGAGTCAGTTGAAGATACCTTGAAGTGAAATGAATGGATAAGTCCAAGTTCATCCTGAGCTACTTTTTGGTCCCTGATGAAGACGCCAGAATCTTTGGCTCAGGGTATGTGCATTTATGTTAGAGAGCTAAAGAGAGATTCCTGTGGCCACTGAAATGATGTGGAAAGTACTTCCCTTGTTTCCCTATATGTGGGAAACTATATTTTAAAAGATTCAGTCTTGTGAAAGGGCTGTGAGTATATCCTTAGACTCTAGATGGTAGTATGCAACCACAGTGTATCCCTATAATGGCCAATGTCCCTTCAAATATACGTAATGGGTAATGCACAGCGGCAAAATGAAGTCAGCAAGAAATTTATTTTTTAAAACTGAAAACGAAAAGGGCTATAGATTTTTTTCAGATCCCATGTTTACATTATTTTATTTTATATCATGGGCTATGTGTACTAATAATATTTAATAGAATAGGATCACTCCAGGAGGATTTTTGTAGAATTACTCACACAAATGAAACAACGGACTCCAGTGGCACTTTAAAGGCTAAATGTTTATGGTGGTATGAACAGTTGCATCAGGAAATAGACAGTGATGGTGCTGGAGCTATATAGAAAGAAACAAGAGGCTGAAAGAAAAGGGAGGTGAAATCTATTTTATAAGGGGGAAAGTAATACTGCAATCCCATGTATATCTTTCACAGGCACATGCATATAAAATTTCAGCCTATATACACTTTACCTGTGAGTAAGTCCCATTGAATTCAATTAGACTTTCGTATACTTGGAGCCAACATGCTCTGTTTTTAGGCACCAGACTAAAACACTTCTGTCCACCCAGCTTTTGATAGTTAATTTGGAGGGTAATTACCATATTTTTCGCCCTATAGGACGCACCGGCCCATAGGACGCACCTAGTTTTTTTTGGGGGGGGGGGAAATAAAGGAAAAAAAATTATTTCCCCCCCAGGCGTGGGGGTGGGGCAGGGGAAGCCCGAGCTTCCCCCGACCCCAGCCCCCAGAACTGGCAGCTCTCCGCAAGCCGTGGGAGCCCGGCGCTTGCGGAGAGCTGCACGAAGCTTGAAGCCTGGGCGTGCTGAGCTCAGCGCGCCCAGGCTTCAGCATGCAGGCAACTCTCCGCAAGCTGTGGGAGCCCAGCACCGGGCTCCCATGGCTTGCAGAGAGCTGCGCGAAGCCTGGAGAGCGAGAGGGGTCGGTGCGCACCGACCCCTCTCGCTCTCCAGGCTTCAGTGAAAGCCTGCATTCGCCCCATAGGACGCACACACATTTCCCCTTCATTTTTGGAGGGGGAAAAGTGCGTCCTATAGGGCGAAAAATACGGTAGATATGTCCCCTGCCCTCAGTTTGTCATCTTGTAGCAGAATGGGTAAGTAGGATTTGTCCTTTTTATAAATATTGATGGATGAGCATTTTAGGTACTTTGTTTCCCTGATTATGTTTGTGCGATTTCAATGCCTTCTGTGTACTAATTTGAAAGCCTCATTGGGACCCGTTTTGTGAGAAAAGTGATGAATAAATAAAACAATAAATATCAGTAATATAATAATATTTCTGAGAAGACATGCATAGGATTACATTGTCAATCTCATGTGAGTTCAAAGGAACTTGCCTTAGAGTGAAGAGTCTTAAATGTGGTTCTCTGAGCTAGTCAGCAAGCTGTTACCTGGCCTTGAGAAGCTCAAAATGGATTGGGTGAGAGCAGAACTTCCTCAAAACAATCTTTGGTTGCAATTCTGTGATGCACCACATGGTTTTATAGATGTTGACTGCATTAAGAATTCGGAGCCATCATTATTTTAAGAACATAAGAAGAAGTTGTTTGTCAACAGGTAGCACCTTGACAGCAGCGTGAGTGGGCACAAAGGTCACCTGATCACAGTTTTCCCCATTATTGTGAGAAGTGCTGTATTTCTGTTTAATTATAGCAATTGGGAGAGATCCAGCTGTGACAGCCTGCATGCACAACAGGAATCCATTTGCAAACCAGATCTCCTGTTTCTTATCTCCACTCCTCCAGCACCCCACACACTCCCAAAATCTACTCTGGAGAGTTCCCCAACCCCCCAGAGGTTGCCACTGGGGGAAGGAGAGTAAGACAAAACCCCTTATGTGATTGGACATCTGCTTGTGCTATGTTGGACCTTATTTTTAAAATTCTACATACATATTGGCGTAAAAGTTGTGGAAATATTTCCCTTCCTTGCCCTCGCATTTGGCAATGCACACTAGTGGTAGATACGCCTTGTGTTGTCACTAATTTAGGTTTGCTACTTGCAAAGAAGAGGGACCTTGGCTCCATGGTCAAGCCCATGCTATGCATATCGAAGGTCCCAGATTCAAGCTCTGATATCTCAGGCTATAGGATCTCATGTGACAGGTCTCAAAAAGTCCTGGATGGTTGTTTCTAGTTGATATAATAGTGGGCTAGATGGTCCAGTGAGCTAATTCAATAAAATAAGGTTGCTTCCTACTTCATGTGGGGAACAAAATACCTTTTGGACTCAATTAAATATCAGTTTCCACTTGAATATCACCATAGAATAATTTTAAAACCTCATCCTGTGTAGGAAGAAGTGTGCTTGTAAAAATCTCCCTTTAGATTTGCGAAATCTTGATAAAATATATCCAACTGATAACAAAGCAGGCCATTGTGTCTTATTTGTGCTCCCACCCCCAAAAAACTGTGCAGTGTTGAATTCTTTAGGTGACTGTTTTTCAGCTTAACTGTAGTAAATGTGAACGCTATGGATCAATACTACAAATGTGTGATTAGTGTTCAGTGGATACCAAACGTTAGAGTATGAATTCTATCTGAGTCAATGCTGCTGAAGGAAGGAAAACCAGAAAATAAATGGACTGAACTAATGAAAGCAGATAATTGTTGCAAAGCCCAACATAAATATTTCCAGCAACTCTTATGAAACAATAAAGTAACTCTAGCAAGTCTTCTTCCGCTCATCTATCTCTGTAGATGTTTCCATATCAAATACATTGTGTGGGCTTAAGCCATCAGGCAGTGCTGATATAAAACCACAGTTCACTTTGATAGAGCTTACACACATCAATTCCTGTTTTGAAGGGGGGGGGGAGAACTTGCTGGATTTCAGGCCATTGTATTTTGTTATTTGATGAGTGTATCTTATAGACCAGTGGTTCCCAGTTAGCTAAGTACTGTGGACCCCCTATTTTTCAAAAGCCAAACCATGGGCCCTCTACTTTTGCAAATGTTGATACCTCTGTGGTAGTTTTGGTTATGTGACACTGGTGCCACAGATCCCCTGAGTGGGCTATGGACCACGGACCACCAATTGGGATCCATAGTTTTAGACCATTACAGACAAACAGTGCTCAGAGCTTACATACAAAGTCATTTAAAAATAATAATAATAATAGCTTGGGATTGGGACATTGGGAAGTATTCAACTAACTTTTTGTGCTAGCACAAGGGAATTTCCCCCTCTGCTCCCTGGCACCCACAAATCTGCTCCAGAGGGTTGAGGGTTAACATAGAAGAGATGCACAGAGGGAGGAGAAGGACATCCTGTCATGGAAGGAAAAATCATTGTTCACTTTAGAACTACACTGAATGTTCATTTTAGAACTACGCTGAATATGATCCATTGTGTTTTGTTATTTGATAGGTCTATAATGAAGGACAAAGAGCTATCAAAAGTCTACACTGCCATCTGAAAATTCATGGAAGCAACTTTTACCACAGAAGGAAGTCAATATGGGATTAAAGATACAGAGTCATAAAGAAGCTTTCCTTCTCAACACACTTCTACTGTGCCTTCTCTAAGGTGCTTTGATGTGGCTGTCATCCATCCATTTTTACATGGTACGTAGGATAGATCAGTGCTTTAAATGAACAAGCAATCACAAAAGTTGTGTCCCTCCTGCACATAGCACAACAAAATGGATCACAGGTACATCCTTTAACTGAAACTCAGCGGAATGTTGTTTGCCCTTTGAAAGAGAAATTGCTTCATGTCACTTTCATCAAAACCAAAGCTATGGAGATCATTACATCTTTCTCTTCCTGGTTCTGAAGATCTGTTAGATGGATTGCAGGAGAACGAGTCTGTGAATAGCAAAGTTCATCCGGTTGCATTTCGCAACATACGAGAAGCACAGTGGAAGGCTAGGAAATACGAAAAAGGAAGTATAATTGCATCCTCACTGTTGCTCTACAACAACAACAACAACAACAACAACAACAACAACAATAATAATGACATCTATGTACACAACACTTTACAAAGAACAGGATTGCCAATTTCAAACTCAATGTCATTCCTATGTTTCCTTGTTTTCCTTCTCCTGCTGCCTCTGGAATTGCTGCTTCCTTGTTACCCTCGTCCATTATTCACCAACCTGGTGCACTTTGTATGACAGGTCTCTACTGGCAAGGGGTTTACAGTCTGAAATAAATATCGGGAAACAATAAGGTAATACAGACTAGGACAGACAATAAGGCAGGCATCCCCAAACCCGCCCCTCCAGATGTTTTGGGACTACAACTCCCATCATCCCTGACCACTGGTTCTGCTAGCTAGGGATGATAGGAGTTGTAGTCCCAAAACATCTGGAGGGCTGAGTTTGGGGATGCCTGCAATAAGGTATACAGACTAGGACTTTGCCAACCTGGTGCCCTCCATATGTTTTGGACTATAACTCCCACCAGTCCTAACCAGTGCTATGTGTGGCTGATAGGAGTTGTAGTCCAAAACATCTGGAGGGCAGCTGGTTGTCCAGTGCTAGTCTAGGGAGATGGGGGTACAATAATTCCAGAGACAAAAGGAAGCAGGGAGGCTATAAATAGGGATGAGATTCTGTTTGAAATTTGGAAGCACAAGGCTTTATATGAGTTCATAAGGAGGATTTCTTTTTAGAAAGGCGTATATTATAACTATCAATTGTCTTGGCAACTACACAGTTATTGAAATAACCAAATCCTTTCCCCTGGTGTCATCCCTATTTTGAGCACTCGCTTTGGTTAGAATATCCTTTCAAACTCTGAATCATAGTGCTGTGTTTGCTGAATATCACATTGTAAATATCACGAAAACAGTGTGGCGAGGGCTCCACGCTGCTATTATTATCTTGGCAGTCCTGCGAGGAGCTAAGCATACTTTGCTGCATTTCTTCTTTGAGCCCCGGGGGTGGGGGGAAGGAACGCAAAGTGTTCTGTATGTTTTTCAGCTCTTGCAGAAGAGTTGCTGCAGATGTGAGCAGGGCAAAACTTCCTGTTGTGGTTATCAGGTATCAGAAAATCCCTCATTATCCCCGCTTGGCATTTGCTCTGTTCTAAAAACTAGCCCACAAGTTGAAAACTTGCTGCCTAAGCAATTAAAGGCAAATGTAATGGGGGCAATGTCTGAGCTCAGTCCGAGCCTTTCATCACCTAATAGCTTCCGCAGGGTGCTTAATTAGTTTCTGAGCATTAGACCAGCAGCAATCCTTAACTTCTGCCCTTCCGAGTCACAACTTAACTCTCCCACCCAACACACACAGAGAACCACCCTCAGACTACTTCTCTGACTACTTATCAGTCATTTTGGGTGCAGGAATTACAGTAGAGTGCTCATGTATGCAACACATAATACTTTAATACTCCTATGAAGAAGTACTTTTTCTGTCTCAAATCTTCAGCCTCATTGGATGTCCATGAGTTCTAGAATTAATAATAATAATTTTTATTTATACCCCGCCCTCCCCAGCCAAGGCCGGGTTCAGGGTTGCTAACAAGCAATAATAAAAATAAGTTGAATGAATACAACTTAAAAACAAAATTAAAATATTATGAGAGAGGCAGAAAAAAACAATTCTCCCTATCCACTTTCTCTATGCCTTGTATAATTTTATAAATTTCTGTTATGTCACTTTTATGTGCCTTTCCTCTAAATTAAAAAGTCATGAACGCTGCAACTGTTCTTCCCAGAGGAGTGGCTTTATCCCCTTGGTCATTTTAATCTCCCTTTTCTGAATAGGTACTGCCATGTTTGTGTTAGGATATTTCCGTTCCACCTTAAAAGGGAGCAGGCTTTGTGAGTCACAGAGTCTGCGCATTTCCTGTTCACAGGAAGTTTATGTTTTCTATTGCTTTCGTTTCTCTCTCTGTGTCGTAGACACTGAAGCAGGCAGTCATGTTTTTCTTTGTTCTGATCAATGCTGAATAAAACTTGTAAATAATGCTCTCCTGAGTGCGACTTTGGCTGTGCATTATCTGCTAACAGAGTGTGCATCGGCTCTAGAATGTGGTAGGCTATTTCTGGAGCTCATGTCGCTAATTGCTGATACTGCGTGCCTACGGGAGATCGATGGAACGTCCGGCAGCCGGCTTGGGGCCATGATGGACTTTGTCTCCCTGGCAGTATCCCAACAACAGTTTGGCAGTACACACTTCTTTCAGCGTCGTAATAGCAAGCTATTTTTTTTTTTCAAACCTTTAGGAAAGTACATCATAAAAGATTGACTTCAGTGGGTAATGAATCTTCATTGCCCCTGGTTCCATAAAGTCCGAGTCCAATCTGCCAAGTTAGTGGGGGAAATCCTCAATGTCGTCAGGTCCCCAATGCAAAATCCTTAGGTTCTTTAGAGCCAAGCATATGGCTGGTGTTATTCTTCTCTGGAAAATTAACAGCGCTAATTAAGTGCTACTTTCTTAGCTTACATTAAAAGTAACGGGGGTGGGGGGAGGTGGAAGAGGCAGATGCAAAAGTGATGACTGAGGATTTGTAGAAAACAAAACAAAACTCAGCAGCCCAATAAACTGTGTGTTTTATTATTTGGTATTCATCACATAAAAACAAATGAAAAGGCCTGACCTTTTCACTGGCGGCAGCAAAGCTCTGACAATAGTCAATAGTTACAGCTAATAGTGGTGCAATTTAAGGACTGCTATGTAATGATCAGGACTGCAGCACAAAATCTGGAGTCTCCTGCAAGAGACTTTTGGGGGCCCATCATGCCAACTGAGCAATTCTTTTTACTGTCCCTTTTATTTAGTAAACTGTACATTTTATGCAGCAATGGAATTTATATATTTGTGTAAATCCATGTATGTGAGGCATGCCATCGCCTCTGCATGGCCGTTGCTGCTGGTCTCCTACCTTGGACAGCTCATAGTGGCTGCTGGAGAGCAGAGCACAACACTTCTTGTAGGTTTTCTTGTTTGTTTGTTTGTTTTAAAAATGCATTGTGTGTCTGCATCTAATCTTGCCCCCTTCTAAAATTTATTTATTGGTGTGTGTTTTTCTTTTTGTAAATCTACCAGAGAATAAAATAAAATCAGGATTAAGAGGAGGGCATGTGTGCTGTGTTCCTTTGGCATAGTGGTAGTTAGACTCATCCTTCTTCTGACAGGAAATGCTCTGCGGTAGGGGAACAAAAATGGGGGGCTGAGGAGGATCAGTTGGGAGAGAATGAGAAATGTCCCTATTTTCATCTGAGGAACATTGGAGGGTGTGAAGTAGGTCTGGGTCTGGTCACTGCATGCATGAGTTCCATGATGGAAGAAAGGTGGGATATAAATGTAAGGAAGCAGGTTAAATAAATTAACCAGTCTTACATTCTCAAACACTTTTTCTACCAAACTCATGAAGTTCAGCATCCTGGAAATGTTGCTTTCTATTGAAGAAATTTGTTAAGCCAAATATTCTTGGGACACAGTAAATCTGAGATGTATTTATTAAGATTTGTGAAAAATTGGGAAGGGCCATAGCTCAGTAATAAAGCATGCAGAAAGCCCAAGATTCCATCCCTAACATCTCTGGGGTAAAGCTGGGAGAGACGCCTGCCTGAAATCCTGGATAGTCGCTGTAGACAATACTAAGCCAGATGGGCAGACTCAGTATACGGCAGCTTCCATTGAAACTTCTTTCCATATGTACCACAGAGACAGGATGTTTGAGAACTGCTTGTGGATGAATACACGTGTTTGGGAATGCTGCAAACAAACAGTTCTGTGAAAATGAATTCAGGACTACCAATTGAATTATATGGATATATACTTGGAAGTAAGGCCCATTTTTGCTTGGGGAGGGTTACTAACTATTGCAGTTATTAATATTGCACAGTTTGGAGCAACTGGATGCACAAAAACTTACTCCTTTTGGAATGAAACGTTGGCCAGACCCATTAGATTGTTCAAAACTTTACTTGCAGAACTTTCTGCAAAACAGAACAAAAACATCAAAGATACATCCAAATAATTCCCTAGAATATCTTGTGCTGTCCAGCACAGGTTCAACATCTTAGAAATAAAATATACTTCCAAACAGACCTAGAAGCAGAAGTCTCTCTTTCTACAGCCTCCATTTTGCCCTGAGCTGTATCCACTCCCTTCAGGAGAGTCGTTTACACATCCTTGCTGTCACAGAGTACAAAGACTCAGCCACCACCCTTCCAAGATGGCAAATTTGCAATTCAATAGCTCTCATGTGATCTCATGTGACACTCATGTGTTAGCTACTTAAGAACAACAACAGTTAATTATCAAACAATTAGAGAGCTCAGAGAGCCCTTCTCGCTTTTCTTTAGCTTCAGTGGAATCTTCCAGTTAAACCCTTTCAGCAATACACATAGGCATTCTCCATTTCAGTGTCAATTAAATCATTATACTTAACAGTAACATGCATAACATTGGGCTGCATATATCTGTAAGTATACATTTGTAAACATTTGACTCCCCACTCCATCTCTCTCTCTCTCTCTCTCTCTCTCTCTCTCTCTCCCTCATAGCTGGTGAAGCATAGGGGAGAACTGCTGCAAGAACTGTACCTCTTTTCTGTTGATATTTTGTCCCAGTACTGGGATTGTCTAAACTTGCTCTTCTGATAATCAGATTAATTCAGAAAACCAGAGCAAGAGAGGCAAATGAAGCTGAGGAGGCTGCTTTGCTTTAGCTGATGGCATGAACACCCTGCTAAATCACCTGTGCCCTGCACTTCACCTGCTTAAATGCTCCAGGGTTGCAAAAACACACTGATAACCTTTTGGAGGATATTGTGGCATTAAGGAGACTTTTAAAAAAATTTGGGGGAGAAATGTCAAATGTAACATGATGTGCTGATGTTACCAGGCCTCTAATGCCATCCAGCTGCAACTCTCAAGCCTGGGGAAATGCAAAAAACACATTTCATAACACTTGGGGGTCTCGCTAGACCCTCTTTCTTGTATAATGAACACATATACACCATACAACTAGATGCTTCTTCTTTATCCTTGTTTTTCAACCCCACACTTCAAATGCCCATCATTTTCCCTGTGGGTAGAAGCTGATAGTAGCTATTTCAGGACCTGCACATCTGGTGCCTCATAAAGGGATGCACCAGAACCATCAGAAATGTTTAAAACAGTGTTTAGACCAAATACCCACAATTAATTCAGGTGCTGAGAAAGAGAGAGAGACCAATTAAAATTAACAGTGGGGCCAAACCAGCAGATGTTCCATTGCCTCTGCTGACTGTATGGTGGCAATCAGAGGGCATGTATATGGTTTAAGAAACATGCAAGCTTCCAGAAAGATTTTCTAAAGAATACACTTTGATGAAGCTTCATAGCTCCTTGCTTGACATTGACTTTTCCATTTTGAAAGGCCCAGATAGGATGTTTACATGTGCATGAAATGTTATTCTAGCACAGGGGGGTCCCAAACTGTGATCTGTGGACCACCAGTGGCAGACTAGCTTCATTTAGGTGATCCACAACATGGCTGCGGATTTGTGGTTAAATACGGGACACAGAATTAAGTATGCATATTGATTTTTAATTGTCTTTTAATGCTTCAATTATTTCTTCTACTGTATTTTATTGTATTGCACTTCTAATTCTATGGAATTCAAATTGTAATACAATAAAATATAATATATAAGAAATAAAATCAGCAATAAAAAATCATACAGCATCTGGCACAGCACATTACAACTGCTGAAACAGGCGGAAAAATAATTAAGGGATCTCCAGCAATTTTCAAGTTGTTTGTTGGGAAAACAAAAAGTTTGGGAGCTACTGTTTTCAATTTAAGGGGGGAAAGCTTCTTATTGCCACAGTTAAGGCACTCAACAAAAAGCACACACATTGATTTTGAAACTCAAGATGCTTGCCTTAACATCCACACCATGTAAGCAGTACAGTCTACAATTTCACATAATGTGTTCCTTGAGAAGGAACCCACCATTTTCCTTGGACTTTAAGCCCCAAATAAATAACCTGGAGTTATTCATAATTTTATAATGAACAAAATATTTACTTACTGATTGCATTCATATCTACCCTTTTCTCCCAGGGGTTCAAAATGGTGCACATAGTTCTCCTCCACATTCATTAATCCCCACAACAACCCTGGGGGTATTTTAGGCTGAGAGGCAATGATTAAGCTCAAGGTCACCCTAGTAAGCTTCATGGCTGCGTGGCAATTTGTACCCTGGTCTCCCAAGCCATAGTGTGACACTCTAACCCCCACCCTACACCCACACTTAGTCTCAGTTTGTATAATGAAACCATGCTGGGAAAGGTACACACATTAACTAATTCTTGCACTGTGCAAAAGCACACACACATTGAGTTTTGCAGTAGGTGTTGTAGATTGTGGTATGAGATGGTGGGATGGAAACATACTTGCTTGAGATCTAAAGTGCAATCGGCCCAACCTGCATGAGATCTAAAGTTTAGGATTCCTAGATCAGTCTATCCTTTGTATATTGAAAGATCACTTCCTTGCGTTTCTTCTGCATGTTAAGTAGTCATTGTTCTATGGAAGACTTCAAACAAATATGGTGGTGGCTTGTTGGCAGGTTGGGGAAGCAATGGTATCCTCATGGTGGAGGTGTTGTGTTTGTCAGGATGGTGATGGTTGGGATGAAGCAGCCACAGCAAGAGTAATAAAATGCTGGGATGGGAGCCATGTAAGTGTTTTTGCTCAGCGGGCTTACATTTCAGCTTTGTAAAAGTCCAAGCTTTTTACACACACCTCCATCCAAGCAAGCAAGAGGCATTAGATAGCTCAAGCACCCATTCCAGCCAGACAAAAGCACTTGAAGAAGAGGAGGCACAGGTCCAGGAAGAGGTGGGGTCTGGGAAGAATCCTAAGGGTCAAAGAGAAAGGCCTAGAGAGTCACATTTCATCCCTGTGCCTGAGGATGCCTGCCCCCAGCCAAGGTGATCAAAAGCTCTCATCTAACTCCATAAAAATACCCAACTGCAGAAAACATGGTAGTTTTGATATGGAAGGAGGCAAACAAAATAGGTAAAGAGTCACCTCTGTTAAACCGTTGTTGAATCCAAAGGTGTCTCTGCTTACCTAGATAAAGATAAGGGGGTTCATTGGTGGCAGCGTAAAATATGGATAGTCTGCTCTTGTTCCTGAGTGCTTAAAGTCTCCCCTGAAGGTGACAAGCATGGAATTGAAATTGTAGAATGCCAATCATTCCGATTAGTCTCTAGAACTGACTGCTGAGGCCAGTGTTGTTTCGGCTGCTTCCTCTAACAAAAGTGGGACTTGCATACAGTGGTACCTCAGGTTACAAGCACTTCGGGTTACAAACACTTTGGGTTACAGACTCCGCTAACCCAGAAGTAGTACCTCAGGTTAAGAACTTTATCTCAGGATGAGAACAGAAATTGTGCAGCAGCGGCACAGTGGCAGCGGGAGGCCCCATTAGCTAAAGTGGTATCTCAGGTTAAGAACAGATTCAGGTTAAGAACGGACCTCTGGAACGAATTAAGTACTTAACCAGAGGTACCACTGTATATGCCTCTTGGTGTAGATTGGCTTATGCACCCCAATGGAAAAACAATGGCCAATCTGTTTACTCCTGTACTACAAAGTGCTGAATAAGTTCTCTCTAAATCAGTTGCTATAATGTGTACCTATTGCCATAGTCGAAGCACAGAGTGGGTGGGGGGACCAGATGCAAGAAAATGACGTCGCTGATCTCCAACTGTCTCGAGGTCATTCCAAGGAAGTTTTGCAGCAGTTGATCATTAACTTAATTCAGTGATAAATTAGAATGTGTGTTCTATCCTGCTAAGATAGTAAAAAATGACTTCTCCCCCCTTTGTTCACAGCTGCAACTGGTAGAAAGAGAAATTAATATTGCTACAAAAAAAGTGGAGCTGGATAGATGCCAAAAACACTAGGTAAGAGCAATATCTCCTTTATCTGTGACTGTGATAGAACAAGAGATTTGTAGAATTGGCTTAGCGCAGTCGATTCACACACACACACACACACACACACACACACACACACTCTTTCTTTTCCTGCAGCTATTATATGAGAATCTGATCATCTGAAACTTCAGTTATGCATTGACTGTCATGAATAGAACAAACAAAGCACCATATTTGATTCCTTCAGTCACTGTAAGATGCTGAAGTGTCAAGGCCTGTCAGAGTGAGCTGATTTTTGAGAATTTGAAATGCCATTCCTCCAAACCACGCTTATTTACTAGGGAGTAAGTTCCATTGAACACACTGGGATATACTTCTGAGCCCCCGACAATCTCTAATCCTTTCTGCAACAATGACATGTTCCTCAGGGTGGTTTGGGGGTGAAATTCTAAGGTGCAAGCGTCTACTCACATGATGCACTTGCACAACCAGGTGTCCCAATCACGTGGTGCGCCTAATCATAAACGTGTTTGTGCTCTGAAATTTCACTGCAGACAATCACACACAACACATAGTCATTGCAGAAAGCATTAGAGATGTTGGGGGCAAGGCTAAAAGTGTCTCCCCACTCCTGTCAACACAGCAAGACCCTGCACATGTATGAACAGAGTTCACAGGGTGTTCCACTTGTGTTCAAGTGATGCAAATTAAAGCCGATTGCAGACCTGACCCCCTCATCAACACAGGGAAGGTTGGGACTGAGTGACTGAAGAAGGTTTTTAGTTTGGAATAGTTGTCTACTATTGTGACTAGCAAAAAAACAAAACAAAAACAAAAACACCATTACAATGTTTACCTCTATACCACGCTGCTCCTCTTGTGGATTTTCTTGCATGTTCACTGGTTTTTCTGCATTGTGAACATGGTTCTACAGAATTCTTTAATGGGGGAAGTTTGTTCGTGTTAGTCAAAGTGTGCACAGAGAGTGCATACCAGCCCTCAGAGAGTCATGCGAATCAGTTTGGTTTCTGTATTCCAGCCCCTGAACAGGGAAAGAGGTTTGGATGTAAAGGTCAAAGTTATGCTGTCCAGTTGGAGATCTAGATTTTTGTTTGTTTGTTTTTTGCTGTTGATGAGTCAGTGAAGTTAATTAGTGCATTGATGCAAGCTGCTGTAATTTCCTGATACGGAGTAATCTAAAGCCTTTGCTATCCTTGAGGGGCTAATAAGGGGTTATTGAGTCTACTAAACAACTTAAGCTTTTAGAATAAAGTAGACAATCAGTAATTCAACATCAAGACTTAATTTGAACAGGACTCAGAACTGATCTGGTTTTCAGTGCCAGAACAACCTAGGCATGAGAAGCAGCAATAAAGAAAATAGCATATTTGAGCATGTAAAGAGTACATTTATTTTGTTCAATAGGAATCTGTATAAGTCTTGACAAAGCCCATCCTGACATTTCTGAAATTTTGAGCTCAGAAATATATTTTTGTTAAAAAAAGAAATTGAGGTTTTTCCAACTCTTTTTTTTTATTATAAAAAAAACCAGGAGAACAGCACCTTGAGGTTATTATTATTATTGCTATGTTTGTATTCCCATTGGTAAGCATCCCAAATTCTTTGTCCTATAAAGCGAATGGCCAGCTTACTGGGAGTGAACTCAGTGGGACTTAGGTCTGAATAACCATGTATAGGACTGCACTGTAATACTAAGAGGTCATCTAATGAAACAGGCTGGTGTTAGCTGGAGAGTTGCTCTCCTTCTTTGCTTAGTCTCGTTTATATTATACTAGTTATACTAGTTTTAGGATCACAACCTGTAGTCGCCAGAATGGGGCATGCATGCTTGAACTACTGCAACACACTCTATGTGGGGCTACCTTTGAAAGTGACTCAGAAACTACAACGAATCCAGAATGTGGCAGCAAGACCGGGAGCGGCCACTGGAACTATATAACACTGATCCTAAAGGATCTTTATTGGCTCCCAGTATGTTTCTGGGCACAATTCACAGTTAATGCTCGCCTTTAAAGCCCTTTAAAGCACAGGAGAAAAAGTATTCCTTGCACAAAGCTGGGAGTGGAATCTCCAGTAATAGGTACTTCCTACAAGGCAGTTCAGTGGGATGCGGGTGGTGCTGTAGGTTAAACCACAGAGCCTAGGACTTGCCGATCAGAAGGTCGGCTGTTTGAATCCCCGTGACGGGGTGAGCTCCTGTTGCTCGGTCCCTGCTCCTGCCAACCTAGCAGTTCGAAAGTGTTGGTTTCTGCTTTCCTTCACTGTGCAGCTCTGCTTGTCACGAGACAGGTGTTTACATTCCACAGTCTGTACTGTTGGAGTTTCTCACGGGAAAGGGAGACTGGATGTGACGTACACTGGTTTCCTGTTTTTCACTGTGTGATTCTCTCCGAGCTGTCGAGGAGAGAGGATGCATTTTTCTGCTCCGGCAGAGGCAAGATGTCTTTCTGTAATATACCAGCTTTGAACTGTAAATAAAAGCAATATAGAGTATGCAGCACATTTTCCTCATCCTTCCGCTGGGCACGAGACTCTGCTTAAATCAACACATGGTTATGGGCTCCAGAAGTCGAATCGGAGTGCCGGCAAAGGATCGGAATGCAGAGGGACGGATCGGAAAGGAATCTGCTCTGCGCGTAGAAGTGATTGATGAGGTATGTGCTACTGCTCCGGGCAGCCTGCCAGCTTCAAGTTAATGGCTTTATGGCTGGACTTTGAACTTTTAAAGCCGGTTTTGCCGGGAATAGGCAAAAGGCTCCCAGGCACAAGTCACTATGCTGGGGAAATCGAAGTAACTTTTAAGTGCGCTTTGGATAAGGCAGCTGCAGCAGTGACGCAGCAAGATTTAAAGCAGCATATATGACGCTGAAGGCTAATGCCAGAGTCATGATGGCCCTTCAGGATGCTTGTGGGATTCCTAAGCTCAACAAGAAAAATTACAGCGACTGGGTTCAGTATGCAGAGGCAATTCTGCGGAAAGAGGGTTTGTTTGAGGTGATTACAGGAACCCCCCCAGTTCCAGTGACGGTTGCTTGGGGAGCTAAGGATTCCCAAGCAAGGGGAACTCTTACATTGATAGTATCCCCAGAAGAGCTCTGTCTATTGCGTGATAAGACCTCAGCCAGAGAAATTTGGGACGCTTTGAAAGAGGCTCACTTAAGGACAGAAGCTGGATCCACTATGTTTTACTTTAACAAGCTGCATAATATGGCTCTTGCTGAAGGTGGAGATGTGCGTTTACATCTGATGGAGATGCAAAATCTGAGACATGAGCTGCAACAGAGAGGACTCAACTTTCCAGAGGCTGTGTATTCTTTCATGATACTACAATCTTTGGGTTCAGGTTGGGAGTCTGTTGCAACCCAGATTGCTGTGCAACCAACTGCTCAGCTGACAGTGGACTTTGTTACTGCCGTGATTTTAAATGAAGCAGATCGCCGGGGTGCTAGCTGCATGGGCAAGGGGAGTCTTCACAGACGTCATCCCATAGTGCAGTGGAACCACCAGATGGCGCCAAAGCTTTGAAGGCAGTGAAATGCTACTCGTGTGGACGTCTAGGCCATATGAAGAGGGAATGCAGACATCCCAGGGCCAAGACAGAGCAGCGCAGCGAAAGCTCATCGCGCGGAAAAGGCCGAGGCAAAGGCAAAGGTCCGGTGTCTAGGACAACGCAGCACAAGGCTATGGTTTCACGCTTCACTCCAAAGGTTGCAGAGGTCCAGAAGACGTCTAGATCTTTCTTCGTTGTTGATTCAGCGGCGACCCACCACATGTGCAACGATAAGAAACTGTTTGTGTCTTTTACACCGCAGGAAGGTGCGATTCACCAGGCGGATGACCACACTATTCCCAGTAAAGGCTACGGAACTGTTGTTCTTCACAGTTTGGACTTATCGATACAGAATGTGCTTTACGTGCCAGACGCCAAACATAATCTGCTCAGCGTTGGACAGCTGAATGAGCGGAACATTGACGTTTCCTTCAAGAACAAGAAGTGCATCATCACAAAGAAAAATGATTATGTATTGCATGCAGAATATGTTGATCATTTGTTTGTTTTGTATTATGATGATGTGGTGCAGGATGACACTTGTTGCATTGCAGGTTCTAACAAAAGTTTGCATGCAGAATGTATTCACGATTTTCATCGAAAATTTGGTCATTTGCATTTTGAGGCAGTATCTAAAATGCCTGCCTTGGTTGAAGGTATGACTATTAAACCCTGCAGGTACCACATGAAGTGCAAAGCATGCGCAGCAAACAAGGTGAAAATGGCTGCGAAAGGTAAGGTGTCTAGTAGGAAAGCTACAGAACCATACCAGGTTGTTCATGCTGATTTGGTTGGACCACTAGCGCCCTCTTTGGGTGGAAATAGATACTTCATGGTTCTCATTGATGCATTTTCTAGATATATTTTTGTGTACAATCTCAAGCAGAAATCGGAGGCTTTTCCTAGGTTCAAGGAATTCTGTGCTTGGTTGGAAAATGTGCATGGTAAGAAGATAAAGACTCTTTTCAGTGATCGCGGGGGGGAATTCACTTCTCAGCAGTTTGAAGCTTTTCTGACTGAGAAAGGAATTCAACACGATTTGTCTAGTCCTCGCTCGCCGTGGCAGAATGGACTTGCGGAACGGGCAAATCAGACATTGCTTCAAGGGTTAAAAACCTTACTGCATGATGCCAATCTTCCAGAGAGTTATTGGGCCGAATCTCTCTCGTGTTTTGTTTACAGTTACAATCGCAGGTTATCTTCAGCGATTGGTTGTACCCCCTATGAGAAGATGTTTGGCAAGAAGCCATACATCAAACACATGAAGATTTTTGGTTCTGACATGTGGGTTCGCTCACCACAAAACTCCAAGTTAGACAAGCGTGGATTGCATGGTATCTTTCTAGGTTATCAGAAAGGGTCTTACAGAATAATGATGACTGACTCTAAGACAATTAAGCTCACGAGAAGTGTTGAGTACAATGCAAAGTGGGGGGAGAATGTGGGAATTTTCCAA